CGGGCCAGGCTCATGGGGGGGGGGCGGAGTGTCCCCTGCCCCGCCCCCTCCACTCCGTCCGGCCCTCTGTGCTGGGAATCTCCTTGCCAGTGTGCCTCCCGGTGCCCGCTGTTGCAGCTGTTCCGTGCTGGGCCTGGGTCTTTCCCCGCTAGCCGCATCTTCCTTTGCTCCCACTGCCCGCGGGGCCACAGGTTCACACGCCTCCTGCTTCTTGGTTTTGCCCAGTCGCCCGTTCTTGTAGATGCCCCTAGATCGTGAGCCCAGAAAGCCGGGCCCTTGCTGTGCTCCCCGCTGCCCCTGGGACTGTGCAGGGCTGCCGCCGTCACCCACGTCTGTTGGCCAGGGAGCGGACACATTCTGCCTCTGGGATCCCGGGCCTGCGCAGCCCTCTCCCCGGGGTCCCGCCCCCATGCCTTCCCCAGCCCCTGCTGGGACCGTGGTGGTAGTTTCCTCAAGGATCCCCCGTTGCCAGTCATGACCGCTGCACACCCACCCTGCAGCCACAGGCTCTTCCTGCAGGGCACATATGGCTGTCCACATCTCCTACGACACTGCTGCAGTGACTCCTGTGGCTTGTGATGCAGAAGTCCAAGCTCCTTTAATGGTTCCGAGTCCTTCCGAGACCTGACCCTGGGCTGACCGCTCCCTCCTCAGCTCTGGCCCTCAGTCCCCGCCCCTGCCTCCCACCTTTCTGCCCTGGGCTGCTCTGCGGATCCGTGACTGGGGCAGCCCAGGCACCTCCTCCAGGCAGCCCTTCCTCACGTCTCGATAGGGCTGGCCCTGGCTCCTTTGGTCTGGGCACATGGGACAGCCCATGACATGGTCACTTGCTCCTTGCTGACCCCTCCTGGAGGAGCCCCCAGGCTAGGGCCAGGCCTTGCCATTTCCTCATTCCCAGTGGGAAGCACAGGGCCTGGGCAGGGTGAGCCTTGGAAAGTGTCTGTCAAAGGTGCAACCCCACAGTGTTCCCCAGAGATGCACAAGGCAGGCTCAAGCGGCGATGGGTGTCACACAGAGGCTCAGAAAAGTGGAGCGGCTTGGTGGGGGTCTCACAGCGGTTACGCACCAGTGCTGGCTGCAGGGCCCAGGCACACTGTGGCTCAGATGCCGTGATCCAGCCTCTCAAAGGACTTTTGTGGATTCCCTGAGCTGGGGTCTCCCTGTGGCCCTGCAGGGTGCACCCAGAGCCTGTGAAGTGTGGTGTCACAGCCTGGCTGGCCCCGGGACGGAGGGGGTGGGGTGCAGGGCAGTCCCCGACGGCCGAGATGCCCTGTCCTGCAGGGGAACTGTACCTCTTGTGAGGGGTTGGACGACGCCCAGGACTACGCCCACATCCGCTCAGCCATGAAGATCCTCCTGTTCTCTGACTCCGAGAACTGGGACCTCAGCAAGCTGCTGGCTGCCGTTCTGCACCTGGGGAACCTGGAGTTTACGGGTAATGCTGGCTCTGCCTGACAGCACCTGCTGGGAAGGAGGGCCGGGGTCTGGGGGGGGAGGAGGAGACCCGTGGGCTCTCACAGAAGGGCCCACAGGTCATGTGGCCCAACCCTGTCCTGGAAAAACACACCTGACAGCTTTAGCTAGGATTTCGGAGGTCTCATGGAGTTAAGGGGAAGGCGCCGATGCTCAGAGCCCTCCAAAGCGGAGGCTTGAGCCAGTCATTCCCTGTTTTTTGCTGGGCGCCGAAGGTTAGCCTATCAGGGTGAGGGGGGACCAGAGCAAACAAATCCATGCATGATCTTGCAAACCAGTTTATAAGTGTTGAGGTGGCCTGGGGATTAAGGTATCCCCAAGCACTGGACAGGAGTTACAGTCCTCTCTGGAAGAAAATACCAGCTGTCTAGCTTGCAAATGGCTCCTTCAAATGTTTTTTCAGACACAACATCCAGCATGCAGCCAGAAAGAAAGAGTAATAAGGAAACAAGAACCAGCAGAAATCATAAGCAATAGCAAGGGTCCAGCACTGGGGATCTGTCAGCCCGGGCCCCTGGGGCCCCTCACCAGAATGGAAGCTGGTAGACACCAAGACTTCAGATACTGGGATTATTGGACACAGACTGCAGAGCAGCTCTGCTTGCTCCGATCAAGAAAAGGCGGAGCAAAGACTGAAAATTTAGACAGGGAACTGGGAACCATAAAGAGTGACATGACAGGTATTCAAAAGAACCACATAGAAATTCTAAAATCAAAAGAACAAGGCTGCCATCCCAGCACTCTTGGGAGGCCGAGGTGTGAGGATGGCTGGAGGAGCTTGAGGCTGAGGTGACCTGTGATCGTGCCCTGCACTGCTGCCTGGGGGACAGAGTGAGAAAAGTCACAAGAAGACAAAATAAAAGAGTGAAATAGCAAAAACGGCCTAAAAGCCGACTCTATGCAGGCAAAGAGGAAATGTGTGAGCTGGGAGGAAAGCCAAAAGGGACTGTGAGCGTAGTGCGGGAAGGCAGAAAGGGGCCAAGTGTGAGAGGGAAGGTGGGACCACGGGCTACAGCGAGCAGAGGTGCTGTGCCTTTCATGGGAGTGCCGAAGGAGGAGAGAGTGGAGCGGGCGGAGGCCCTATCTGAAGAACGCGTGGCTGGTCCTGGGACTCATGGGAGACATCCAGCACAGAGTAGGGAGAAGGCACAGAGCTGTCCGCACGCTTTTCTGGAACCAAGGAGTGTCCACGTGGCAGGCATGCGCTTAGACCAGGGTCTCACACCGTACGGGAGAGCACCCGCTCTGGCAGGTTGCAGCCGGGGTATCCGTCACCTACCAGCCGCCCGGGCGCTTTGACTAAGGAATGGTGGGTGCTAACTGGAAGTGGCCATTGGGCCTGGAAGATCTTTAGAAACATGATGCTGAGGAAGTGAAGCTAGGTCCAAGAAAGCTGACAGTTAGACTCCACACACCTCACATTTAAGCAGGAAGAATGAGGCTGGGCACGGTGGCCCACACCTGTCATCCCAGCACCTTGAGAGGCCGAGGTAGGAGACTGCTTGAGACCAGGAGTTCAAGACCCACTGAGCAACACAGGGAGACACTTGTCTCTTCAAAAAATTAAAACCTTGGCCAGGTGTAGTGGTACACGTCTGTATTCCCAGATCCTCCATAGGCTGAGGGAGGAGGATTGCTTGAGCCAGGAGGTCGAGGCTGCAGTTAGCCATGACTATGCCACTGCATTCCAGCCTGGGTAAGAGAGCGAGACCCTGTCTCAAAACTTAAAAAAAAGGCAAAATCAAGTGTGGTTTAGGGAGTCTATGGAGGTTACACAAAGGTAAAGAAAAGCAAGGAAGTGATTTCCATGAAAGCTGGAGGCGTGGTGACCTCCAGTGAGAGGAACAAGGTCTGAGCAAGCAGGGTCCTTGGGAGGATACACGGGCTGGAGACCTCAGTGGTGGTTACAGTGGAGTGGACTTCACTCACTGCAGCATAGCTTTGTGTTTTATGCGCTTTTAGATTTGCATGTTTCATTTCACATTTTCTTCAGTTTAAAAACACCCCCGACTCCCCTACCCTCAAGGTTGGCAGAGTCCTAAGGTGGCCTTTGACTGAAAGAGGAGGAACGGGGTGACTGCAATAGAGCTGGGCCTGGCTTACAGTTGGTGCTCCATTAATGCTTGCCTCCGGTGACTGAATGAATAGAGAGATGCCCAGGACCCTATGGACAACAGCATGGGTTGAAGGAGGCTGGTGGCTCTTCTTCCTTCATAGGTCTCACCTGGCAACCCTCCAGCACTGGTGCCTGGGTACCCCAATTCAGACTTCTCCCTTATCTTCGACCCAGGGTCCAGGCCTCTTCAAGTGGAGGAGCCATGGTCTGTCACATTCATTGGCAGCCAAGGCACTGGCACCTCATGGTCGTGGGGACGTTCACTCTTCACCCCAGGAGAGGCAATGGCTCCCATTGGCATAGTCACGAACGAGTGGGATGGGGGCTGCCACAGGCTCAGGCCTTCCTGGGTGCTCTGTCCCCTCGTTCCAGGCTGCTTCCCCACTCAGGGCTCCTGCCTCCCTTTCTAGCTGCGGTCTTCGAGAACCTGGACTCCTCAGACGTGATGGAGACACCCGCTTTTCCCATCGTGATGAAGTTGCTGGAGGTAGGGGCTGTGCGTCTGGCGACTTCCATTCTGGTGAGGGGCCCCGGGGCCTGGGCCGAGGGACCCCTGATGCCGGATCCTCATAATCCCACCCGGCCCCCGCCCTCTCCCAGGCTCTAAGTTCAACCCCAGGACCTTTCTGCTCACCGAGGGCAGACACCAGGGTGGGCACAGCATAAGCTGATCGTGAACAGAGCAGCGTGGGAAGTCTGCCTGGAACAGACATCTCTTCCCATTTCCGCAGCCCCTCCTGCCGGACCATGACCCTGGTCCCTAGACCCCCCTCTTGGGCCCCAACTCACCTCCGCCAGAACGACCCTGTCAGTGCCCTTGCCCCCCACCCCCAGGGCTCCCGAGAGTTGTGCTCTTCTGGAAAAGCAGACTGAGCTAGCCCATTACTATGGAGCTGAATGGCACCTTGGCTCTCGGAGGTGCTGCAGGCACCAGGCGGGGAGACACCACTCGCTGAGGACACGGTGGCATCCTCCGTGTCACATCCCACCGACAGTTCTGGTGGGAAACTAGCAGAATCAGAGGCAAAAACAAAAGTGTCCTTAGACACTTTGGGTTTTGCAGTTCCTGTCTTCCCTGTGTCAGGGGAGGGCCTGGCCCTTCCAGACTTCCCTTGTGGCTTCAGGCCTTCGGCTCCAGGTGGGGCAGTTTTCACTGGGATGTACCCGAGGCCCAGCCTCAGTGCCCTCCCTGAGCCTGGCTTTTCAAGGCCTGCCTGGTGGCCTGCTTCTTCCCCCGGCCCCAGGAGACCGGCACACTTGGGCTCAGCGAGTTGGAGCATACGCTTCGAATGCTCTGTGCCCGGCACGCCTGCGACCTTGGCTGTGGCCCCCATCCAGCCTGGCCCTGGTCTCAGGCACCACCTGCCCTGGTCTTGAGTGGGAGCAAGACGTGGCAGAAGCCGGGCTGAGTCAGGCCAGACCTGCTCTGCAGGTGTGAGGCAGCCCCCGCCTGCCTTCCCAGGTGCAGCACCAGGCGCTCCGGGACTGTCTGATCAAGCACACCATCCTCATCCGCGGGGAGTACGTCACCAGGCCCCTGAACAGCACCCAGGCGGCAGACCGGAGGGACGCCTTTGTCAAGGTGCAGAGCTGTGGGGGCAGGGTCCGTGTGTCTAGTATAGACTACCACTCTGCTCCTTACCCTGCTGGTGGAGCGCAGAAAGGATCGGGGGCTCTGGACAGGCCTCAGCTCCACTGGTCACCTGCCTGGTGATCATGGTCTCCCAGCCTCCGGGGCCTTGGTTTCTTGCCTTTAAAGCGGGGCTAACACCCTCAGTGGATTCATGGTATCTGGCCCGCACCAGCCTTGCGGGTGAACTTGGCAAAGGGGCAGCCTTGCCCTGTGCCACAAAGCCCAGCTTCCCTCCATGTCGGTCCAGGGCATCTACGGGCACCTCTTCCTATGGATCGTCAAGAAGATCAACGCCGCCATCTTCACACCGCCTGCGCAGGACCCCAGAAATGTGCGGAGGGCCATCGGTCTTCTGGACATATTTGGCTTTGAAAATTTCCAGAACAACAGGTATGAGCGCCTAAGGTTTCAGCCCAAACGCGTTCAGGAGACAGAAGGGGAACCGCTCTTCTCTAGCGAGCAAGCTGGGGGTGGCCCCAGCCCTCCAGGGTGCGTGAATTTGCGAGCAGGCCCCAGCGTTTCTGCACGTGGTGGCCCGCGGGCGCCCACCAGCACCCCGGCGTCCAGAGAAGGCTGCACTGCTGCAGGCCCCTCCCGGGGTCAGGCTACAACCCCGCCTCAGCTGCCCCTCCTGCGCCACCTGCCTTCCTCATGACAGCTGAGGCGGTTCAGCTGCATCTCCGGGTGGGCTCTACCTAGGCTCTACCTAGGGGACTCTGGGGCATGGGTGTGGCCCCTCTGACCTTTGAGTTGGGGTGGGGGTGTAAGGCAGGACAGGACGCCTCCCACCCAGTGTCCCAGTGTCCTCTCGCCCCAGACTGGAAGCTGAAGAGCTGCAACCAGGAGGCAGGTCAGAAACTTGCCCCGGTGTGTGTGTAGCGAAGGCCGGTGGGGGCAGACGCAGTGCTGAAGGGACCAGGCAGGGCAGCCAGACCAGGCCAGGTGATGCTCAGGCCCTGCGACAAGCGAGGACAGGGCCAGCAGGCGGGTGGCATTCTGGAGCAGTCTAGCCGGCCGAGGCCTTATTGAAAGGGCTCGGGGGGGACAGAGGCTGGCCACTGGCCGCAAGAAGCAGAGGCCTCTGGACACTGTCTGAGGAGCCAAGGGGCTCGTGTGGCCTTGGTGTGCCCCGCCCAAGGCCTGTTTCTAAGGGACGTGTGACCGGGAAGTGGTTCAGAAGGCTTCCTTGGAGAGCCAGGATTGTAACGACACAGTCCGGTACAAACGCAGGCAGGCGGGAACTCGGCCCCTCGGGACCCGCGAGGGCAGGGGCTGGGTGAAGGGCCGGGGCCTGCTCTCTGCGGCCAGGCGGGAGGGGCAAGGCTGCCAGAGCTCGGCAGAACGCACCAGGAGCTCTGAGGGCAGGGACACGTGAGTGTGTCCGGTCCGTGAGACGGGTGAGCCACCCATGCCCCTCTGAGCATTTTGGAGGTGGGTGAGGGGCCGGTTCTAGGAGACCAGGCCACATATGCAAGGGCCCCCTCCTGGACAGAGGACGTCAGTAGTGACCCGCTGGTTTGTGTGGGGCTGCAGCATGGGGCCTTACAGGAGGTGCTGCTGGGTCCCTCCCCGGTCACGCCTACTGTGAGGGTCATCAAGGGACTCGAAGCCGTGTGCTGGGCGTGGGGGCACTGCGGGCTGTTCCCGCCCCACTTGGGGTAGTGGATGTTGAGCAAGCAGTCTCGGGTATGCTGAGGCCCTCCTAGGGAGCAAGCCATCGCGAGGAAAGCTGCCTAAGAGAGGCCCGGAAATCGGCAGGATGACCTGGGTAATGAGGAGAGGGGGAGCAGTACTGCGTGGGGGCCCAGAGGGAGGAAAGTCAGGTGCATTCTGAGTGCTTGAGGATGTCCAGGGTGGTGGAGAGCAGCCAGGTGAGGCGGGCGAGGTGGGCGGGGCTTTCTGCTGGGGTCACCGTCTGGATTGTGAAAGTGGTGGGAAGCCGCAGGGAGGAAAGTGATCAGGCCTGCAGCCAGAAATTGCCCTCGGGGGCCATGTGGAGAAGAGCCATGAGGCCATCACGGGGCCTGGGTGGGCCAGTAAGGCCTGGACTGGGAAGCAGTGTGGGGCAGAAGGAAGCAGAAAGATCCTTCTGTTTGTTGGCGACTGGGGGAACTGGAGGAGGGGAACAGAGAGGCCTCAAGCAGGACTCCTTTATTTCTGACTTAAACTTAAGGGTGGGAGTGGGTGGGTCATCTCCCAAGGCAGGGAACCCAGGAGGAAGGGCAGGCTGGAGGATGTCTGGTTAATGCAGAGAGGCCTGGCAGCCACTCCTGGTCTCCGAAGCTCCTTCCAGCACCAAGGCCACTTGCCCATTAAGGTAAGGGCTGGGGCTGCTGGTGTGTGCTCAGCACCACAAGGAGGGACAAGTGTCGGGACAAGGAGGCTGGTCCAGGACCCCACAGAGCCTGAGTGAACTAAAGGTGAAGACTTGCTGATGTGTGGTGCCTTCTTGTCTCTCAATCTGTTTGCCGTGGGGTGGAGGAGGTGTCGGTAATGGAGGCAGAGAGAGGGGAGGTGTGCAGGGAAGTGCGTGCGTCTGTGGACATGGGGGCTCCATGTGTGCAGGCCTGTGCATCTGTGGGCACATTCGATGTGGCTGTGCGCAGACGGCTGGTGATCCCGCGGCCCCATCCTGCGGCTAGGGGGACTGGCCGGCCTCACCATCCTGGGCTGGGCGTTGCCTCCACAGCTTCGAGCAGCTCTGCATCAACTTGGCCAACGAGCACCTGCAGCAGTTCTTTGTGCAGCACGTGTTCACCATGGAGCAGGAGGAGTACCGCTCGGAGAACATTGCCTGGGACTACATCCACTACGCCGACAACCGGCCCACCCTGGACCTGCTGGTCCTCAAGCCCCTGAGCGTCATCTCCCTGCTCGACGAGGAGAGCCGCTTCCCACAGGTGCACGTCTGGGCTGACGGGTGGCAGGCGAGACCCTGCTCATGGGTTTCCGCTTCGAGGCTGGGAAACTCCTCTGGGTGGCCCTCTAGTTTGCAGAGCTGCTGGAACCCCTGCCGGGAAGAAGCAGTAGGGCACCAGTCTGACCAGACACTCCTTTCCTTCAAGCCCGCCTCAGCCCTGCCTCCTGCAGGAAGCCTTCTCTGACTGCTGGGGCACCTGACAGTTGTATAGAGGGTGGAATGGGATTGCTGAGGGCGGCAGACCCAGCCTCTCCTCCTAGGTTGGCTCTCACTCGCAGCAACAAGTCACTGACCCCTGGGCATTGGCTTCCTGTAGAGAGGTCCTCAGTCATTCTGAGCCCAGTTTGCTTCGCCCCGTGAGGGCACCTCTGAGTCTCTTGGGTTGGCCACCCAACGTGGCTGGACTCTGGAACCTCAGCTCATAGGGTGTCTGGGTTCTTCCAGGGTACAGATGCCACCCTGCTGCAAAAACTGAACAGCGTCCACACCAACAACAAGGCCTTCCTGCAGTCCAGGAACATCCATGACACCAGGTTTGGCATTGCTCACTTTGCCGGCCAGGTGTACTACCAGGCAGAAGGTGGGTGTAGCTCCTCTCACACCCTTCCTAATCTGGATAAGCCTCCTGGGACCATGGAAAGGAGGCCAAGAGGCGTTTATTTTGCAGATCTCACAGTGGGGCAGAGGGATGAGTAGTATGGCTTCCACTGGAGGGAGAAAATGGAGTGGACCAGGCTTGTTTTGCTTAATTAATTAATTAATTAATTAATTTATTTATTTATTTTTGAGTTGGAGTCTCACTCGGCTGCCCAGACTGGAGTGCAGTGGCCGCTCCCGGCCACCGCAGCCTCGACCTGCTGGGCTCCGGCGATCCTTCCGCCTCAGCCTTCCAGTAGCCAGAATTACAGGCGCGCGCTACCACGCCCAGCTGATTTTTTTGATTTATTGTAGAGATGAGGTCTTGCTGCCCAGGTGGGTCTCGAACCCGCGGGCTCAGGCAATCCACTCACCTCAGCCTCCCAAAGGCGCGGGATTACAGGCTGAGCCACCGAGCCCGGCTTGCTTTAATTTTTAATACTAGCTCTATTGAGATATAATTCACATACCACAGGACTCACCCATTATAAGTGTGCATCTCAGTGGCGTTTAGTATATTCACAGAGTGTATTCACGAACACCACAGTTTTAGAGCATTTTCATCGCCCCAAAAGAAACCTCCCATGAACAGTCACTCCTCATTTCCCCTCAACCCTAGGCTGCAACTAATTTCTATCTCTGGATTTGCCTGTTCTTGACACATCATATAAGTGGAACAATATGACACGTGGTCTTTTGTGACTGATTTATTTCATGCCACATAGTGTTTTCAAGGTTCATTCATGCTGTACCATTTCTTTGTATTGCAGAATAATTTTCCGTTGTATAGATATACCTTACCACCTCATCAACTGGTGGATATTTGGGTTGTTTCCACTTTCTGCTATTAAGGATAATGCTGCTCTGAGCATCCGTACACAAGCTTCCATGTGGACATATGTTTTCATTTCTCCTGGGCATATACCTAGGATAGTGTTGGATCATATAGTAATCCTACATTTAACCCTTTGAGTAGCTACCAAACCATTTTCCAAAGTGGCTGCAACATTTTACATTCCCTCCAGCTGTGTATGAGGGTTCCAGTTTCTCCATGTCTTCCCCAACACATGTTGTCATATCTCTTTTTTGTTGTAGTCATTCTAGTGGTGCGAAGTGGCGTCTCAGTGTTATTTCAGTTTGCATTTCCCTCATGGCTCAAGATGTTGAGCATCTCCTCATGTGCTTGTCGGCCACCTGCATCTCTTCTTTGGAGGGATGTCTACTTAAATGCCCTGCCTGGCCTTCACAGGGTTGTCTTCTTGTTGAGTTGTAAGAGTTCTTTCTATATTCTGGATACAAGTACCTAATACCTGATTTGTAAATGTTTTTCCATCCTGTGGATTGTCTTTTTGCTTTCCTGATGATGTCCTTTGAAGCACAAAAGACTGTCATTTGGAAGAAGTTGCCTTATTAATTTTTCTTTTGTTGTTTTTTTCATATCTAAGAGCCCACTGTCAAATCCAAGGTCATAAAGGTTTACCCCTATTTTTTCTTTTTCTTCTAAGAGTTTTTTAATGTTCGCTTTTACATTTAGGTCTTGGACTCATTTCGAGGCAATCTTTTGATATATTGAGGGAGAGTCAGTAATGGTTTTGCTTGGAGAAATAAAGGTCTGAGGTGGTCAACCTAAGAGTGTGCTTAGAAAAGTGTGAAAAGAGACCAGTGTGCTGCTGTGGTCAGGAAAGTGGCAGGGGACCGGGGGAAGGGCAGAGGGTCCCTTTCTGTGGCTTGTGTGGAGAAATGAGGAGGTGCTCAGGTCTATTTAAGTGGAGGAGGAATCCAGGGATGATCTTTTGGGCAAGGGCTGGTATTTCATAGAAGGGGTGACGTGCTGGGAGGTTACAGGGAGATGGGAATGTTCTAGTCTGAGTCACGCTCAGCTGCTCTTCCTCCATGCCAGTAAATCAAGGGGCAGGGAACTCTTGAAAGTTTATTTCTAAATTCAAATCCCGGAGCAGATCTGGGTTTCTGGCCTTTTTAAAAAGTAGTTAAATTTTAATGCTCTCCCTTCAAGTTTTACAGTCCACTTTTAGAAGTCCAGGGTAGTTGGTTCACTGACCACGTGACTAGCAGAGCATTGTATAGAATTTAAGTTACAGCCTCGTTTTGTCAATAATGACATTTGTGATCTGCATTTCCCAGCACCGGTTACACCAGGCAGAGGTGTTAATCAAAAGGCCATAGAGCAGGGGTCCTCAAACTTTTAAAACAGGGGGCCAGTTCACTGTCCCTCAGACCGTTGGAGGCATGGACTATAGTTTAAAAAAAAACTGTGAACAAATTCCTATGCACACTGCACATATCTTATTTTGAAGTGACAAAACAAAATGGGAACAAATACAATATTTAAAATAAAGAACAAGTAAAGTTCAATCAACAAACTTACCAGAATTTCAATGCTCTCTCAGTTAACTATGGTCCTGCTGTTGGCTAATGAGATGGTCAATGGTCAATATCCGGTTCCATATTTGTCACTGCTAGTCTTAACAAGTGATGCAAGTGTGCATCAGTTAGTCTAGACTGAGAGGAGGAGTCGCGAGACACAGAGAATGAGGGGAGTCGGAGAGTGCGACGCACATTCCACACATGCGCACTGCCGCCCGGATGAGTCGGCTGCTAGGCAGGACAGGCAGCCGCGGCAAAAACACCCGGTGGGCCGGATAAATGTCCTCGGCGGGCCGCATGTGGCCCCGCGGGCCGTAGTTTGAGGACCCCTGCCATAGAGTAAAGGTAGTTTATAGGGCCTAAGACATCACACTACTACGTGTTGTTACACACAAAAAGGATACGCATCACAAGACTTATGATTCCCCTGTTACTATATTGTTCAGACGTATGACTACTAAGAAGAGGGAGTCAATGGGGATTTACCTCTCTCAGTTAAGTGGGTACCATGTTTAGGGAAGTCAAGAATTCTTTGAAGTTACTTGCTGGGGTGCAGGGGAGATAAGGGGCCGTGCCCCTTTTGTTGACCTTCAGGAATGTGGGTGCATGCAGGCCCACTCGATCCCCGGCCATGCCCTTCTCTAGGGTTGTGGTAATGTGGACAGACAGTGGTAAGTCTCTGTATCAGGAAGATGGGGTGGCTCCCTCCTAATTCCTGCCAGATCCTGGCTCTGGGCTCTTCAGAAAGGGAGAGGCCAGATCCGATAGGACCTGCAGGGTCCTGGGACAGATGGAAGACAGCAAGCCTGCGGCCCAACCTCTCCTGGGAAAGGCAAGGCTGAGTTTATTTTCTGAAGTGACATGAGACTTACACGGATGCCAAGATTGAGGTAGCTTCTTTTCGCTTTCTGACTGCAACATTCTAGAAGTATTCACTCAAGCTAAGCCTTCTGGTCCTTACTTTGGGTCCCTGCTCTGCCGCCGGCTTCAGCTCCACTGACCGTGCCTACACAGGGTTGAGTTCAGGAGTGCTCAGTTCCTCCCCAACACCCAAGGAGCCCCCCTGCCCAGGGCAGGGAGGGCTCTGCCTGAGCCTCAAGGTGCAGGTGTCACCGTGTCTGCCTTGCCCAACACCGGTGGCTGCTCCCCTCACAGGCACCTGCAGGCAGAGGCGGGCACAGGCTCCCGCCCCTCTCCCCTCCCTCATCTCAGCCTCCCAGACCCACACCAGGCCATGCAGGCGAGCACAGCGCGTGACACTAGAAGGTGGAGGAACTTCGAGGGAGCAAAGTGGAGAGAAGGGCCAGGGGTGTGCCCTTGGGAGTCTGTCCTCAGAGACCTCGGTGCCCTTGGGAGTCTGTCTTCAGCTGCCTGGCCACATCTGAGCTGGCTTTGAGGAGCAGCATCTTCAGTGCCTTCTCTGTGTGGTTCTGTTCCTACTGCAGGGACAGGCCGTTCTTACTCTGACTGGAGGGGAGATGTGGGAATTCTCACCTCCTGGAGTCATGCTCAGTAACAGAAGCACAGACTAGAGGATCCAACAACAGAGATTATTGCTGCCCAGGTCTGGAGGCTGGACGTGTGAGATCAAGGTGTCAGCAGGGTTGATCCCTTCTGACTCTCCTTGGTGTGTAGACGGCCAACTTGTGTTCTTACACGACCTTCTCTCTGTGTGTATCTGTGCCCTCATTCCTCTTCTTAACTTTTTCTTAAACAAGGCAGTTTCTTGCTCTGCCAGCCAGGCCGGGGTGCAGTGGCCATCAGCGCCCAGCAGCCTCCAACCTCCACCAGGTGCTGGGATCACAGGCGAGCCACCACACCCAGCCCCGATCGCCTCTTCTTATCATGACTCTAGGGCCCACCTCATGACGTCGTTTTGCCTTCATCACCCCGTGGGAGGCCCTTTCTCCACACACAGTCACATTCTGTTGTACAGAGGGTTAGGGATTCGGCATAGGAACTTGAAGGGACACAGTTCAGCCCGTAACGCTGCCCTTCCTCCATTTCTGGAGGCTCAGTCTTCTGGCTAGAGGTGCCTCAGCCCTAGCAGGAACTCCCAAGGCCCTAGAGCAGCGGGTGGTGGAGGCTCAGATGAGGGGCATTGGCGTGAGAATGGGGGGCTGGGGGGTAGAGCGTTTAGAGGGTAGAGGCCAATGGATTCTGGGGAGAGGGGTGGGGCTGTGCCTGGGTGGAGGGGCCGAGAGCATGGCTTCAGTGGGGTCGGTGCGAGTGTGGCTCCACCAGACATCCCGTGACCCCACCCCATTGCTCTCTTCTTCCCTGGGGTGGGTGGTGATAGCCGCACTAGACCGCCAGATGGGCCCTGCTGTCCCCACAGGCTTCCTGGAGAAAAACCGGGATGTGCTGAGCACAGACATCCTCACACTGGTTCACTCCTCCAAAAACAAATTCCTGAAGGAGATATTCAACCTGGAGTCAGCAGAGACCAAGAGGGGCCACGGGACCATCCGCCAGGCAAAGACAGGAAGCCAGCTCTTCAAGGTGGGTTCCTGGTCATGCTCCCAGGTCTCTTACCCCTGGAAGCCAAAGGCCAGACAGATGTGCACAGGGAAGACTATTTCCCTCGTCTCTGGGCCCCCAGCACATTCCTGGGGCCTACACACAGCAGGCACTGGGAAACTGTGATGGATGGATGGATGCAGAGACGGATGCACTGCCCAGTTGCGGGCCCTGGTTGCATCTCTCACCGTGCTGGGGGTCAGCCGTGTCCCAGGTTGCTTCTCCCCAGACCCGGCTTATGCCCTGTGCTTCTGTCCACAGTCTGCAGACTCGGCCAAGCGACCCTCCACCTTGGCAGGCCAGTTCAAGCAGTCCCTGGACCAGCTGATGAAAATCCTGACCAACTGCCAGCCCTACTTCATCCGCTGCATCAAGCCCAATGAATACAAGAAGCCACTGGTAACAAGGCGGGGCTAGGGGGGCAGGGAGGGAGGGGAGTGGGTAAGTCTGACGGCCTCCGGGCTGCACTTACTCCCTCTGCCAGAGGCTGGCCAGTGTTGGAGCTGTTATCTGCCCCCACCTTACAGACGGGGACACTGGGGTAAGGGGACAAGTCTAGGACATTTGCAGGCCAGTGACCTGCAGGGCTTGGATCACTCAGACGATGTTCTCTTAGCCCACCGTGCATCTTCTGCTTGTGCTTGGCCAGGCTTTTCCTGGTTTTCTCTTCCAGGAAGTCAGACTCGCTCCTGCCTGGAGGGTTGCAGCGAAGGTTGGGGCTTGTTTGCAATACATCTCCCACATGTAAACCACACTCAGTAAGTGGCAGCAACCAGTGCTAGGACTTTAGAGGCTGACACCACTCCTGGTCTCTGAGCCCTGCAGGGGTGCAGCCCTCAGAGAGGTGGCTTCATCTGGTATGCATGGTGAAGGGTTTGGAGTCCACTGCCTGCCCATCCAGGAGTGCCATCTTCATGGGCTGGGGGAAGCACACCCAGAGGCTGAAAATACAGGGAGTTCCCCAGACAGGAAAGGATAGAAAATGGCTCAAAAACATAAAGAAATAAAAATATTACATTAAATAAAGTGCCTTTTTAAAAAGAATAAAACTATATGAAAATGGGTTTGGTCTGGCATGCTGGTTCATGCCCACAGTCCCAGCAATTGAGAAAGTCGAGGCAGGGGCATCTCTTGCGCCCACGAGTTTGAGAGCAGCCTTGGCGACATAATAAGACCCAGACTCTCTAAAAACAAAATGTTTTTTTGCATGGTAGCATGCATCTGTAGTCCTAGCTATATGGAAGACTGAGGCAGGAAGATCGTTTGCGCCCAGGAGGTTGAGGCTGCAGTGAGCTATAATCCCAACGCTGCACTCCAGCCTGGGTAACAGAGAAAGACCCTGTCTCTAACGAAAAAAACAAATGGGGTTTGTCCTATGAAATCCGGGCTGTATCTTCCTTGTAGTCACAACAGGCAGATGTGAGGTGATTTCTCTTATTCCCCGACTGCTGGGAAGTTGATTGTGCTTCCACAGACCCTTGGCCCATGCCCACCCTGACCACCTTGGGAGCTGCAGGACAGGCGGGCAGGCTGCTGCTCTAGTGTCGGGGTGCCTCTGGCTGGGATGTCTCTCAGTGGTGGCAGCTGCCCTGCTCTAGGGTGTGTAGGGGAAACCCAGGCCGTGGGGCCGTGCAGGCTTGGGGTTTGCGCCCTGGGTCAGCCCTTCAGACTCGTGCCACATCTTTAATCAGAGCCAATCACCCGCACCATGTAGGGCTGTTGTCAAGACTGAGTGAGAAACTACGCCCACAGGAAATATTCAGTAAAGAGCAGCTAACCGCTTACCCAAGGCTCCCCATGGCCAGTACCCCACAGGCAGTGCGCTCCGTGGCCCTCAGTGCTTGCAGCTGATGTAACAGTGCTTGCTGGTGGGCTGGCCTGATGAGCAGGTGTTTCCTCGAGTCTCCCAGAGACTCCTGGCTCATAGTTCTGCGGGGCTCACTGGAGGCCAATCCGTGGCGGAGCCTTGGGTCACCGTGGAAGACGGACACCTAGGGAAGGGCATCACGCCCAGTTCCTCTCTGCCAGCCTCACCGGCCTCCAGGCTGGGGACAGCTTAGCTCCCTACGGCCAAGTCCCGCTCCAGGTCTTGGGGTGTCCAACCTCCATCTTGGGGAGAGACTAAATTGACTAGAGGATATTCTACCTCTAAGTGGCAGATTTATTTCCTCACTCCTCCACGGTGTGGGAGGCACCATGACGCTGTCAGCACTCAGGGCAGTACCCAGCCAAGCCTGACGAAGGCAGGGTGCTTCTGAGCATTTTCTTTTTTCTTTTATTTTGAGTTGGAGTCTCACTCCGTCACTCAGACTGAAGTGCAGTGGCTGCTCCCGGCCAGCGCAGCCTCGACCTGCCGGGCTCCGGCGATCCTTCCGCCTCAGCCTTCCGAGTAGCTGCAACCACAGGCGCGCACTACCACGCCCGGCTAGTTTTTGATTTATTGTAGAGATGAGGTCTTGCCAAGTTGCCCAGGCGGGTCACGAACCGCTTCTGAGCATTTTCAACAGGCCTGCGCGAATGCCGTTCTACCCATAGCACCCGGCATATCTTGGGAGTCGCAGGAGTGTCGTGTTCTCATGTGTGCCATAGTTCTGTTACTGATTTTTGTCCCCTCAGGAGCAATGTGTGGACTTTTCAGCTACTTCTACTCCTCTCTTCAAAGTGTGGTTTTGACGAAATCACGTGTTTGTTTAGCTCTTTTTCTCTCTGGGCCCCGGGGCAACATTCACGGCCCGACAGTGGGTGCAGGAAGGATGGGTGGCACTGGGTCAGCACCCTGTGTCGCCCACAGCTCTTCGATCGGGAGCTGTGCCTGCGGCAGCTGCGCTACTCGGGCATGATGGAGACCGTGCACATCCGCAAGTCGGGCTTCCCCATCCGCTACACGTTCCCAGAGTTCTCGCAAAGGTTTCATGTGCTGCTGCCCAGTGCTGTGCGCTTGCAGGTCAGCACAACCCCTCCTCGTCATTCCCTGCCACCACGGCCACCTGCCGCCTCAGGACCAGGGCACATCCCACTGTCCTCCTGGGCCCAGGGCCCCAGCCTGGAGATGGCTCTGTCTTCCTTGCCCCTCCTCTCTTGCTCTCCCAGAGCTGAAAAGGGAGGGGCTCGCCCCAGGATCGAGTGATGCTTGGGACTGCAGCTGTGCCTTCCAGGACCTGTCCGCAACCCCCCTGGACCAGGTGGCTGCTTTCCAGCATCCTGGGGGCAGAATGGCAGGGAGCTGCGGTGTGGCCGGTCCTCCCTGTCCTGCCTCCAGCCTCAGCCTTCGTGGAGATGGACCTGGCCTGGGGCCCAGCACCTCACCGTGCACCGAGGCCTGGGCCTGGCAAAGCCCGGAACCTTGGGAGCCTGGGCCCTGAGTGCTCCCTGGCCCTGCCCCTTGATCCGAGGTCCCTGTTGTTCCTGTGCCTGACAGCCTAGCCTGGGGGAGGGGGAGGAGGAGGAGGAGAAGGAAGACGTGGGCACTCAGCAAACCTCCCTTGGGGGTCTCTCCCCACCTTCTACTGAGCCGCCCTGTTTTCCTTGGCAGCTGCGAGACAAGTTCCGCCAGATGGCCCTGGACATCGCTAACAGGTGGCTGGAGACAGACAAAGACTGGAAAGTGGGAAGGACCAAAATTTTTCTGAAGGTGAGATGCTGAGGACCAGCTGGCATCAGATTCCTGGAGTGTGTGGGGCTGATGAACCCCGGCACCGGCCCGCCGGCCACTGGGTGGCATCGGCTTATACACCCCGAGCCAGCACCTCTGGCCCCTGCTCCAAGCATGAAGGCCCCCAGCCTCAGGGCAGCCCCAGGTGTAGAAAGTCATTCTAGGAGGCAGTTGAGGCAGGTTGGGGGCAGGGGGAGCAGAGGGGAGGGTCGGCCCAGCCTGCAGTTGGGCATGTGAGGCCAGCAGAGAGAACATCCCGGGAGGCTTCTCTGAGAGGGTGCACTAGGGCAGGGCCTGAGGATACGGGAAGGCACCTCCCAGCCACGCACAAAAGCACCAAGAAGTGCAGGGTGGGCTCCTAGCATCTGGAGACCAGGCCTCCGTCGCGCCAGGAGCCACAGCCTTCAGCAAGGTTCTTGGTCGCACCGGGCAGGCTCATACTCTCCGGAGCTGGGAGAGTTGGTGCTTCAGTGCAGGATGCAGTGTGTTGACTCCCCGGGAAGTGACTCAACCTTGGGAGGCTTGGGTGGGCATCGCCACCACCTGCCTCCCCCGCAGCATGCAGAGAGCCTGGGGTCATGCAGAGGCAGCCTCGTGGCCCTCCGTGATTGCCAGGTGCGTCAGCGAGCCACCAGGGAGAGAACCTCCTGACCCCTTGGCCTCCGAAGGGTGGGGTGGGACAGTACAGTGAGAAGGAGGAGGACGAAGAGATCAGAGCTGGAGGACCCCCTGCCGGCTCTCCCGGCCCGAAGCCCCCGCCACATCCCTGCTGCCCTGTCCTTTTCCCCCATGGTGCTTGCTTACCCACCCTCATCTGTCCCCAGAGGGACCTCCCGGCCCTGGTCCTCCAGCCGGTCTGTCTGGCCATCTATCCTTGTATTAGTTCTGGTTGTGCTGGGGCTTGGGGGCTCAGATGGGAAGGAAACGTAGAGGGGCTTCTGGCTTGGTTGGGCGTGTGAGGCCAGCAGAGAGAACATCCCAGGGTCCTGCCCAGCAGGAAGGGACAGGCAGCGAGGGCCCCAGAGGCAGAGAGGTGAGGGTGCCGTGGTTGCAGCTCCTGTCTCTGAGCCAAGCGGGCCAACTGGAGGGTCCCTTCCCTGCCTTCCCTCCTGGGGGCAGTCTGAGGGACACTGCCATCCTGAGACGGGCTGCTCCGGCGGGGGGGGGGGGCTGAGCGCCGGGCAGCTCCCTGAGGGCGTCTCTCCCGATCCCAGGACCATCAGGACACCCTGCTGGAGATGCAGAGGAGCCAGGCCCTGGACCGCGCCGCCATCAGCATCCAGAGAGTCCTACGGGGCTACAGACACAGGTGCCAACTCTGCCCAGCGCTCCCCTGGGCCAGTGTCCCTGAGCAGGCCTGCAGCCCAGAGAGCTTGTTCCTGCCGGGCACTCCGTGGGGTCGTGAGGTCTCTCGAGACCTCCCGACCAGAGACACTGCAGCCTCTGTTGGCCAGAGCGCTCTAGTACGTGCCTGGAATGTTGGTTGGAAAAACCAAAAGCCGCTCCGCAAGCGAGAGGCAGGAGCCGAGCGAGCGAAGCATGGTCTCTGCTCTCAGAGTTTTGCTGTTCTGCTTCCGTGGTCTCGGAGCACGTGGGTTTGGGTAATGAGGTAGTTTGGTTTTGGAGGGGAAGAAACCCCCTGGCGTTGCCTCGGGTCGTCGGTCCGTAGGAAAGTAGTGCCAGCCGAGTTTCAAGCCAGGTTCAGCCCATCAGTCGTGCTGCCGCCCCTCCACACCCCCCGCCCTCGTCTGGAGGGCTTTGAAGACAATGCCGTGTCTGCCCTGAGCCAGCCCAGTGGCTTGTCACCAGCCAAGGGAAGGGGTGGAAACCCAGGCATGAGGGGATGGGAGAGTGTGGGCGCAGAGAGCAGGCAGGAGGCAGGGCCTCTGGCCCATGAGCCGGAGGGGCAGCTCTGTGGCTGGGAGGCCAGAGACCGGCTCAGAGGGCCAGACCCTGGTGCCCCGAGCTCAGGGCCACAGGCAGCCTCTAGCCAAGTCCTTCCAGCCCAGTCCGAGGCAAGGCAGTCTGGCCGCCCGGACTCTCAGACATTTTTAATTAAACTTTTGAAGTCACTTTAAATCCATGGGCAGTTGTGAGCAACAGCGGAGAGATGCCCGCGTGTTCTTCACCCGGTTTCCCCAGTGACAGCATCTCACAAAACGGTAGCAGAGCAGCCCAGACGGGATACCGACGCGGATGCGGTCAAGACACAGGGCGTTCCTGCCTCCCCAGGATCCTCTTGCTGCCCTTCCAGAGCCACACCCACCTGCCGTCCACCCCGGCTTCTTCTTGGCCCCTGCCCACCGCTAACCTGCTTATTTCTGTAGTTTTGCTATTTCAGAAACACTTTCCGAATGAAATTGTATAGCATGCGGCTTATGGGATGGACTTTCTCCCCCTCAGCATATTTCTCTGGAGACTCATCCAGATCGCTGCTCACATCGATATTTTGTTCCTTGTTACTGCTGACCAGTATCCTACAGGATGGACACACTGCAGATGGGACCATTCACCATCGAAGGATATCAGGGCTGTTTTCGGTTTTGGGCTTTTACAAATAAAGCTGCTGTGGACATTTGTGAGGTTTCTAAGGGAACATAAGTTGCCATTTCTCTGGGACAAGTGCCTAGGAGAGCAACTGCTGAGTCATGTGGTAGCTGCATGTTTTGCTTTTTAAGAAACTGCCAAATGGTTTTAGAGAGTGGCTGTACCATTTTACATTCCTACCAGCAGTGCATCACTTACTCAATTTCTCTGCATCTTTGCTGACATGTAATGTTGTCACTGTTTTTTATTTTCACAATTCTGATAGGTGTGCAATGAAATCTCATTGTGGTTATAATTTACATTTCCTGATGGTGAATATATTTTCCCGTGCTTATTTACCACAAGACTGTTTCTGCTTAGTGAACTGTCTGTGCATGTTGCTTGCCCATTTTCTAGTTGGATCCTTTGTTGAGTTTTGAGATTTCTTTATAGGTTCTAGACTCTATTTCTTTAATGGCTATGTGGTTTGAAAGTATTTTTCTCCCAGCCTGTAGTTTGTCTTTTTACCTTCTTAACAGTGTCTTTCCTGAGCTAAAGCTTTTAATTTTGATAAAATCTAATCTAACTGTCAAATTTCCTTTTCATAGATAGATCATGCTTTTGATAAAAATTATATAAGTTTTCTTCTTTAGACTTTTATTAGGGTTTACACTGACTGGTTTTTAATATTTGCATTAAAATATTTAATATTTTAATATTTGCATCCCTGGAATAAATGTCCCTTGGTCACAGTGTAAATTCATTTTTATGTTTCTGAATACTATTTGCTAATGTTTTGTTAAGGATTTTTGCATCTATATTCATGAAGTCTGAAGTTTTCTTCTTTTGTATTGTCTTGTCTGGTATTGGTATCAGAGTAACACTAGCTTCAAAAAATCAATTGGGAAATGTTTCCTCCTCTTCTATTTTCTGGAAGAGATTGTGTGGAAGTGGTGTGAAGTCTTCTTTAAATGTTTGGTAGAGATCTTCAGTAAGAATATTGGGCATGGAGATTAATTTATGGGGAGATTTTAATTATAAATCCAATGTCCTTAATAGTTCTAAGATGATTCATATGATCTATTTCATATTGAGTGAGTTATAGTAGTTTGTGTTTTGTGAGGAATTCGTCCATGTTATCAAAGTTGTCAGTTTTAAGTGTGTAAAGCTGTTCCTAGTGTTCTCTTTTTATCCTTTTAATATTTGCAGAGTCTGTCATGATGTCCTGTTTCATTCTTAATATCGGCAATTATTGTCTTCTCTCTCTCTCTGTCTCTCTGTCTCTGTCTGTGTTGCTAAAGGTTTGTCAATTTTATTGACCTTTTCAAAGATACAGCTTTTGATTTTGTTGCTTTTTCCCTAATTTCTTGCTTGTTTTTAATCGAATTGATTTTTGCTTTTTTCATTATTTCCATTCTTCTTCCAGCTTAGGCGTATTTTACTTTTTTTTTTTCAGGATACTAGAGGTGGGAGATTAAATTATTAACTCAAGGCTTTTCCTCTTTTCTAAAGTAAAGTGATATGCATCTCCTTCTCAGTGTTGCTTTAGCTGTGTTTCACAAATTTTTATTTCCATTTAGTTCATCTGGTTTCATTCATTTTCATTTGGAAATTTTTTTTTTTTTTTTTTTGCTGAGGATTGTTTTGGCTATTCTTGGTCGTTTATGTTTCCATATAAACTCATATATTGTTTTTTCTAGGTCTGAGAAGAATATTGCTGGTACTTTGATGGGTTTAAATTAAATCTGTAGATTGCCTGAGGTAAAATGGACATCTTAACAATGTTGAGCCTTCCAATTCATGAGCATGGAATATTTTTTCACTTGTTTGTGTCATCTTTGATTTCTTTGAGCAGTGTTTTGTAGTTTTCATTGTAAAGGTCTTTTATGTCTCTGGTTAGGAAGATGCCAAGGTATTTCATTTTTTTTGTGGCTATTGTAAATGGAATTGTGCTTTTTATTTGGGTTTCTGTTTGTTTATTATTGGTGTATAGAAATGCGATTGTCTTTTGTACACTTATTTTATACCCTGAGATTTCACCAAATTTTAATTGAGATTTTCTCTGTAGCCCAAGAATTATTTAGAAGTACGTTGTTTAGGTTTTCAGTGTTTGAAGAGTTTCCTGTTATCATTCTGTTATTAATTTCTAGTTTGATTCCACTCTGGTCAGAGCTATACTCTGTATGAGTTCAATTCTATTAAATATGTTGAGATTTCCTTTATGACTCAGGATATGTTCTACCTGGCTGTATGTTCTTAGGACACTTGAAAAAACAAAACAAACCATATGTTCTGTTGTTTTTGGGTGGAGTGTTCTAAAAATGTCAATTAGATCTTGTTGGTTGCTAGTGATTTTGAAGTCTATATCCTTGCTGATTTTCTAATTGTTCTATTGATTGTTGAGAGAGCAGTGTTGGTCTCCAACTGTAATTGCAGATTTGCCTTTTTCATTTTAGCATGATCATTTTTGCTTTATATATTTTTGCAGCTGTGTTGTTTGATACATTGCAGTTTTGGATTGCTATATCTTCTTGGTGGATTTACTTTTTATCATCATGCAGTATCCTTCTCTGTCTCTGGTTATTTTCTTTGCTCTGAGCCCTTCCAGCCAGGGTGGCATCAGTGTAGGCCTAGTGAGAAGTCAGAACTCCAGGCCCCTCCCAGCTGTAACAATGAACCTCTACCTACTTTGAGCATCAATGGAGGCCATGTGGAGAAGCTATCCCACCTCCCTTACAGAGTGGTATCAGAGGAAGCCAGCTAATGCAGAATGTTTAAACAAACATTACATTATGTTCACTTAACATAATACCCTATTTTGATTCCTTATTTGATATTAATGTAAACACTTCTATTCTCTTAAGGTTGCTACTTGAATGACATGTTTTTCATCCTTTTGCTTCCAGCCTACCTATTTCATCATATTTTAAGTGAGTTTCTCATAGACAGTATGTAATTGGGTCATGCTTTTCAATCCATTCTGCCAATCTGTGTCTTTTAATTGGTATACAGTAAGTCTTCACTTAATGTCATTGATAGGTTCTTGGAAACTATGACTTTAAGTGAAACAATGTACAACCAGTCCTCAAAAAACATAATTTTATTATAATGCTGATGAAAAAATTGGTTTGTTATACATTGTTTCACTAAAAGTCATAGTTTCCAAGAATTTATTGATGACGTCAAGTCAAGTATTACTGTGTTTAAACTTTTTAGATGTAATACAATTATTTATATGTTAGAGCTTGAGTCTACCATTTCATCTTTTGTTTATATTTGTTTCTCTGTTTTTTTGCCCTACCTTCTTCTGGGTTTCTTAAACATCTTTTTAGAATTCCATTTTGACTTATCTATAGAGGATACATTATTTTATAGCTTCTTGGTATCATATCTTTTTCAAACACTGTGTTTTATTTTATTTGTTTAATTGACACATAATATTTTTACATATTTATGAGGTATATAGTGATTGGTGATATCTCCATCATCTCAGTGTTACCATCTGTTGATTGTCTTTTCTCATTCAAGTTGCTATTTTCCTGGTTCTTAGTATAAGTGATTTCATGTAGATACGTGGACATTTTAGGGTATTATGTTAAGTGAACATAACGTAATGTTTGTTTAAACATTCTGGATTAGCTGGCTTCCTCTGATATCACTCTGTAAGGGAGGTGGGGATAGCTTCTCCACATGGCCTCCATTGATGCTCAAAGTAGTCGAGGTTCATTGTTACTGCTGGGAGGGGGCTGGAGTTCTGACTTCTCACTAGGCCTGCAATGATGC